GTTCACTATCTTTATAACCCTGACTTGTATGTCTATTTCAAAACCATTTCCATGGGAGAGGGGAAAACTGACCCTTGGATTAAACGGGGATTAAACAGCATTACATGGCACATGCCCCTGCTGTTGTTAAGTCCACAGATTGTTTTTTAAGACGTAGAGTTGTAACCTTGGTGCAGGTTTATTTTGGCCAAGGTGTTTTGAACCCGCTGGTGGAGTTTAATTAAAGCGCAAATGGAGACCCCCGAGCTGAGATTTGTGACACGACTTTTTCGACAGTGAAAGTTGAGCAACTTGCCAGCTGTCATCCTGTCGTAAGACGTGAACGGATGTGTCTACAGCAGGCATGGGCAAACTAAGGCTGGGGGGGGAGGGAGCAGGGGGCGGATGCGGATGCGGGTTCAGCTTTTTTAATCCATCCCGCCAACCTTTTCCAAATGATAGAATTGATTTATTACATTGTCATTGTACTTGTGCCGTTTCCCTGCAATACCCACTTTCCCCAATAGATGGCGTAGAAAATGATAAAACCATTTTAGCATTTATGCAGGTCTTTTACATGTCATTTAGTTTAGTTCACAGGACAATTGTGGCCTGCGACTCAGGAAGTTTGCCCACGCCTGGTCTACAGGAAGCCAGCAACAGTTGATTTTTAACAAATACTCCATCAAACAGGCCAGCGTTTGATTGAAGTTTGAGATCTCTGTCTCAGATTGTGTTATTTTCCTCGCCTTGTTACGTATTAAATCCCCAACGTTTGAAGTTTGAGATATCTGTCTCAGATTGTGTTATTTTTCCTCGCCTTGTTACGTATTAAATCGTCGTCTGTCTCGCCGTTTCTACAGTTCTTCCTCTGCTCTGTCTACGTGCCCATGTGCACTGACAAGGTGCCCATCCCCATTGGACCGTGCGGAAGCATGTGCCTGTCGGTCAAGAGGAAGTGCCTCCCAGTTCTGCAGGAGTTTGGCTTCGTTTGGCCTGAGGTGAGTTGGGTCGGTTGGTTGGATAATGTGAAAAAAAAAAAAAAAAGAGTTCACTTTTGATTTATTCACTTTTTTTGGTTCCACTCCAGTCTGAATAAGAAACCAAAATCTAACTCCTCCAGGTTCTCAACTGCAGCCTGTTCCCACCTCAAAATGACCACAACCACATGTGTATGGAGGGCCCGGTGGACGAGGACCCGCCCTACCAGCCGGTCCACACGCTCTCCTTCCAGGAGGAGTGTCAGGCCCTGGGCTCGGCTCCTGACCAGTACACGTGGCTGAAGCAGACCGAGAGCTGCACGCTGCAGTGCGGCTATGACAGTGGTCTCTACCGACGGGGGGCCAAAGTTTTCACCGACGCCTGGATGGCGGTCTGGGCGGTGCTGTGCTTCGTGTCGACGACGCTGACGGTCCTGACCTTTCTGTTGGATTCACAGCGTTTCTCCTACCCTGAGCGGCCAATCATCTTCCTGTCCATGTGCTGTAACCTGTACAGTGTCGCATACTTAGTAAGTTGGAATTTCTTTTTTTCTTTTTTTTTTTTTTGCAAAACCAATTGGACAAATCACCAGATCACCTCCGCGTCTATATGTTAAAAAGCATCATATGTCGTAGTTTTTATTCATTTGTTGCATTTTTTTTTTGCCCCCCGTCCTAAAGGTACGATTAACTCTCGGGAGAGAACGTGTCTCCTGTGACCTGGACGCCACAGCCGTACCAATTCTAGTACAGGAAGGGTTAAAGAGCACCGGCTGTGCCATCGTCTTTCTGCTCCTCTACTTCTTTGGCATGGCGTCTTCACTATGGTAAGTACAAGTAATTAAGTATTAAGTAAATTAATATATATATCATATATTTTCTATTTTTTTTAAATTGTCAGGACTCCAACATGGATGTCCTGTGTTCACCTCAGTTTCAGAGGAAACACAGATGCTGCCGCAGCATTCATTTCTTTCCTTTCACTTTAGCTTTAACAATTTTCCTGGGTTCCCCCCCCTCCTCCCCTCCTCGTTTTCCTGTGGAAATGCGATGAATTGAAAAATCCCCAGGACATTGTCCTAAAATACGACCCTGGTATTCTGTTATATAACCCGCGGCTATGCGATGTGGGGATGACCCTGTTACAACAGAGGGCTGCAGATGTTTGGCAGATCAGCTGCTGAGGTTAAAGTTCTTCAAATGCTCTCGCAATAAGCAGCATCTTCTCTTGGAGATCAAAGTCGTGGAAATGTCGAAACGTTGTTTCCCCCCCAGTGGAAAGTTGTTAAGTTCTTCTGTTTCTGTTTCTATCTCTCCCCCAAAGGTGGGTCATCCTGACCCTCACCTCCTGTGTTTCTATCTCTCTCAAAGGTGGGTCATCCTGACCCTCACCTGGTTCCTGGCTGCTGGACTGAAGTGGGGCCACGAGGCCATTGAGATGCACAGCTCCTACTTTCATATAGCAGCCTGGGCTATTCCGGCCGTTAAGACTATCGTCATCCTCATAATGAGGCTAGTGGATGCAGACGACCTGACTGGACTCTGCTACGTTGGCAACCAACAGCAGGAGGCGCTCACGGGCTTTGTGGTGGCCCCTCTGGCTTCATATCTTCTTATAGGTAAGTTTAATCGGCAAAGGAAGAATAAGTGTATGTTTGAATTTTAACAACGGCAAAATTGCATATTCTGCACTAGTATCAAATGTTATCCGATCTGATGCTAACGTTTAGCTATAATTCATTTACCTTGTGCTACTATCAGGCTTACCATCCAGTTGTATAGTTGTTTTTGCTACCCTCAATCTGATAAATGCGTTGGTCTTTTTTTTTTTTTTTTATTGTCTTCGTGTACCATAGGCACTTTGTTCATCTGTGCCGGTTTGGTTGCTCTGTTCAAAATCCGCTCCAACCTGCAGAAGGACGGTGCCAAAACTGACAAGCTAGAGCGTTTAATGGTGAAGATAGGCGTCTTTTCTGTCCTCTACACCGTCCCGGCATCAACCGTCATCGGCTGTTACCTGTACCAGCTGTCACACTGGGGGGATTTCAGGGCAAACACCAGGGACTCATACGTGGCATCGGAGATGCTTCGAATCTTTATGTCCTTGCTGGTTGGAATCACCTCCGGCATGTGGATCTGGTCCGCAAAAACACTGCACACCTGGCAACGCTGCTCCACCCGCCTGATCAGGGACAGCAGGGCGAGCCGAGCGGGCAAGCGAGCACCGGGGGAGGGCTGGATCAAGCCGGGAAAAGGAAACGAGACTGTGGTGTGAGGAAGGGGGACTCGGGAGAGAGTGGACATGTTCGTACTTGGACCAGCTTCTCCTCGGTCTGCCTCACAATGGACAGCAAGCTCTGACCGTCGGGGGCAAGGCGAGAGGATAATTGTGGCGGTGTCAAGACGTCGCATCATCAGGAAAAGATTGCAGGGAGTCCACAGGTAACCTCACACTCACTCGGACCCACTGTGGAGTCGGGAAGGAGAAACGAGGAGGAACGAGCACCACGTGGAGGTCAAACAGGGGCCTCACTACCTCTGTCCCACCTTTCCTTCACCGGCCAGACAAAGACGGCACAACCATGAAGGAGACAGAGAGACGGAAAGGCCGAACAAAAGCATCAATATGCAGAAGACGCATCAATAAGCTTCGTAGCACCACGTCTACCTCTGTCTCTCTATTCTCTAGAGTCCCCGGCAGAAGAGACTGAACCTGCTGGATACACTCAGCCCCCGAGGCCATCGGATTTTTTTTAAGGGTCTTTTGGAATTTTAAATTCATACACTGGAGGGTCCTGATGCAGATCTGACACAGAGGCTGCATTTCCCCGAGAAACAAAAAAAATCCAGAAAGTTCTTGTCAAAACTGAAGGGACAGTCCCAGTTGTAAAACCCAGACCTTTCATTCTGCCCATGTTGGTTTTATTATTAAACCATATTCTATGTTTGTAAATTTGACTTTTTTTGTACGTTACAACGGAAGGCTTTGGAAAACCAGCTCTAAGCTGTAATATGCACTAAAATATATCCAATATGTGACTTGTGCAGGAAGTGGTGGAACGAATAGGGAAGTCTTCACAGAGCCTGTTTAAAGCACACCACAGCCGGTAATGCTGCACATATGATTCATTTGGATTAATTTGGCTTATTGTTCATGACCGTGGGTGGTATTTTTAAGTGAGAAAAAAAAAAAAAAAAAACCCAAACTGTGTTAATTCAGCAACTAAGAGGCCATTCAAGCGTTAATTTGGGGAATTACCAAACTGTGCCTTTAGTTTCCCACGTACAGTGTTCACGAAACGTCGCGCTGACTGGACGCAGAAGCCCAGACCTGTAAACATAGCTCTGTATGTGCCCCGGAATTAACCGTGAAATCCAGGAAATTAAATTATTCTCCGTGCAGTCTCTGCAGAGATGAGGAGCTGGAGAGGTTGAGGACGAGTGCCACAGGACTCTAACGTGAAGCAAAAACAAGATGCGAAGAGAAGTGATTGCCGAGGAATGTCACTTGTAAAAATGTAGCTACAGAGAGAAAACAAAACAAAACAAAAAAAGCCCTAATAAGGCCTGTTACTTCCTAAATGGTTTACAGTATCAATCATAAAAAAAAAAGGAATCGGACTCGGATTGTTTTTATTTCTGTCAGGCCGATCTTCTCAGACGGTAAAAATGATCATTTCATTTTCAAGTAGACGGATAATTTGATTTAAGTCACGGCATTTTCTTCCTGTACAAAATCACATTGTTTCCTATTTTCTAATTTCGGTTTTAATACAAACGCCTCTGTACTGCTAACAAGAGCTGCCACCCAAAATCCTGCGAATGTTCCTGTGCACTGTGGATTTGCATGACAATCTATGAAACAAAGCTGTTGCATCTTAGCAATACTCTGAATGTATTCTGTATTCTGTTGCGACTGTGTACCAAGTTTTTTTTTGTGTGTGTGTGTTTGTTTTTGTACCTCCAACTAAGCAAAGAAAATTGGTCGGAGCATTTTTTAAATGTAGGAGGGCTGGAGTCTTTTCAGGGATTTGCCTTATCGTGTCTCATCTAAAACCAGTAAGTGCCTCTCACAGGCAGGTTTATTATTAAGTTAATCATCAAATCTCAGACAGGAGACACATTTCCCAGAAATTCACAGGTTTTTTCCCCCAAACCCCTTCAGTGGTTCTGGTAAACCTTGGGAGAAAAGAGCTTCTGAAACCAGCATATTTTGGCACATGTACTTTTCCAAAGCCAAACAAACATGACGCAGAGCGAAAGTGATTCAAATTAACTTCGGACCACAGTTTCCCCCCCCCCCTGAGATGGTCCTTAATGTTTTGGCAGCTGTCTCTCATATGATCACACCAAGCTCCAGGTGACATTTTCAAACAATCACAGTCGTCCAGTGCCTTCGTGAAAACACGCGGTCAGTGTTTGGGCCGCTGCCTTTAAAGACCAAGTCCAGCCGTTAGGCGAAATTCACCCAGGAATCATCAACGTTCCGACATTGAACTGAAGCTCAGACTGCCCGTTTGTACAGAGAATACAATGTGTCCGTGAAGTCATCGACGTGCTATGAAGAAATTGTTAATTTATCCTTTGTAAAAAAAAAATGGTATTCTTGTAAAAAAAAAAAAAAACATTTTAATTTTTGTTTGTTATTTAAGGAACACTTATATCAGACGAGAAATAAAAGCTTTTGGTTTTCAGTTGTATGTCTACTACACTCGTTCTTTTTTTTTTTTTTTCCAGGTCACGAGGTGGCTCAGCGGCTAGTGCTGCAGTGTTATGACAAGATAACCAGTTCAATCCCCAGTGGCAAGTTCATTCTTATCAGAACTTCCCTGTGTGTGTGTGTGTGTGTGTAGGTTTTCTCACAAAGTTCCACAACTGTCGTTAGGGGAAATAGTTTCTGGCCTTCGGTGTCGGTGTAGTTAGTCGACACCAACAAAAGAGACGAGCGACTCACTTCTACACTACCCAGACCGGTTTATTAGGAGTAAACAACAGAGGGAGCACACCATGTGCAGCGCTCAATCCACAAAAAGAAAACGACGCGCAGGCAGATGACATCACATTTCTGATCTGTGACAGGTGCCTTAAAGGTCCAGGCTACAATTTTTACCGTAGAAGAGACCATGAATGCACCACGCTTCCTAGCCGGGTGACGTGCTTACACACAGCGCATCACAGGAAGTGGTAATAGTTCACTACAAATCAACATGTCCCATTCAAATATACTGTGTTTACATGCAGAGCGGTGAGATACGGAAAATATTCAGCCCAGGTTTTGTAGTTAGCTTCTGTTTTTAGCCACAAAAAAACTAGCATATAGCAAATAGCCCTCCTGACCACAGTTGTGAAAGTATGTGTGAAAGGTTATATTACCATGTATCTTCGGTATGACTACAGGTGAGTTTTGGGAGAATTATACACTAATTACATATTAACAACACTCGGTACACGGGACAAAGTTTTACCGCCCTAATTAGTTGAGCAATGCTGCCACCTCTTGCCTGACTGTACAAAGTGTCCTTTTGATGCTCTATTCGTTTCTACCACTTAACATAAATTCAGCTGCTTGTACCGTTCACGTGCATGTGTTCGGCGTTTTCCCCGTAGCAGTTGCTCTGGTTCGGGATAAGAAAATGTTCCCCCAAAGCACTAAATTTGTTTTGAATCCACAGTTGGGGAACGGAGTGATTAGAGCGCGTAAACATTACCGTATCGTCCATCACATCTCATTCAGCCTTGAGCTCACGACGGCCGCGCACGTGCACTCACGCGCACAAATTAGCAGTAATTCGGTTTTACAATTGCGCCTAATGCACTTTGGACTGGACTCTACCGGGGCAAGGGTAATGCGCCTAATGCACTTTGGACTGGACTGGACTCTACCGGGGCAAGGGTAAAACTGCACATGGAGATGCTGATTAATACTGGTCGTGCACGTGTGTGTGTGATTGCATCAACATCAGAGAGAGAGCAACTGCAACAATCTGCAGCTCTGATAGTTTTCCTGTAATCGACTATGAGTGAATTTAGTGTTTGTTTTAAAACGTACTCCAAGCTTTTGAGGTAAAGAGAAAGTGACAGGTTCTCAGACTCTTATTGTTTCCAGATGTGGCTCCAATATCTCACACACACACATACACACAAACTCAGGCACTGTTCAGACATAGAAAGGCATGTTCGCAGAAATGCACACTATAAAACGGACAGTGGACTGCAATCAAATTCTTACCCTAAATGGTCTTCTTGTATTTGAGTGCATGTTGAAGAACACATGCACTTATGCTTTTCAGTAACTCACGCTCACTTCACATTTTCCACTGAATGGCACAAGCCATCTGTCTCCAGGTTCCTGCCTGCAGGCGACGGTTTTCACAGTTCTCCCCTGGTCACCGTCTTTTTTTCTCAATGCTTTGTTTTAGGCCCTTGAAATACCTCCATCTTCGGGTCTCAAGCTGCCTTTCTGCTGTTGTTATAACATTAGTTCATGTCTCTAGTTTTAACAACAATTTCCTAAAATTCATTTTATCAAGTTGTTAATGTTAAAGGTTGAGCAAACAAAAAACCGTGTCAACTAAAAGAACGTGAAATAAAGGGGACTAAACAGGAGGAAGAGAATTAACCCGAAAGCTGTCGTCCCAGCAGCTGTTCCCTCTCAGTAATGTTGAAATCGTTTTTCTGTTCTCTTCTTCCTGGCGTCTTTGCTGCATGACTAGTTTTTGAGTAATGGCCACCATTGGGGATTCTGGGTGACGTAGTGGTCTTGGCCAGAGAGCCACTTTGGTGCAAAAATGATCTGTAAAAACTGGTACTGGAGCCAAACAAGCCTGAGAGAGAAATATAAAACCCCAGCCAAGAGAGAGAGAGAGAGAGAGAGAGAGAGAGAGGGCCGGAGTTACATGGTGCGTGAAAGGACGGATTATTTCTTGGCAGACGTACATTTTCGACCTGAATGTGTGCATTACCCTTTATAAATATGTATCTTCAGCTGCTGGCATTCCTATTACGCATAATGTTTCGATACATTTAAACTGCATTTAACCTGTGCATCACGACGGAGGAAGCAAACACTAATTCATCTGTAAAGCCTTGGATTTCTCTCGATTAATCATCCTGTTACCCTCAAATTTTCAAACATCTATGTTCCTTGGGGTCAATTTGACCCCAGCCATTTAAATCTCAAGAAAAACGTTTCTGTGTCAGGTACTTCAGGCTTCTTTAATGTTAACATAAAAAAGCCAAAACACCTAATCCATGACTAGGATTAGGAAAATAGCCAATAAATCTCACTGATTGATCTAAGACTGGAAATAAAGATATTGTTGCTACTTCAGTACCTTCAAATCATCTTTCATTACAGATTTCTGTCATGAGAGGCATGTTTAGTTATCAATCACACTTACATCTTTAATCCTCCGTTATATATGTGTATATATATATATAACACAGCCGTCAACATGTTAGATGACTGTTAGAGCATTTAATCAAACAACAATAATTAAAAAATAGATGTTTTTTTTTACATTTTTCTTTGTTTATTCTGTAGCTTTTTTTTTTTTTTTTAAAAATCCTTTTTATACATATCAAACATTTTTAGTTGGAGTTAAATATTACAGTGTGTCGTCTGCCTATTACCACTAGATGTCAGTCTCGGTCAATTTTTAAATTTCACTCCAAAGGTTAATGTGGTTTTTTTGAGTTTAACTCTATTTTAAATAGAAAGATACTACAGTTTTTTTACATCTGTTTTCTCTGAGAGAAATACGTAGTATATATGTAGCTTTATTTATGTATTTATGTATTTATTTTGGTTTTATCGTTCACGGAGCAAGGGTGATTTCTGTTCGATTACTGTCGGATTACAGTCATTTTACTCGACTTTGTTGCTATACTGTATAGTGTTGTTATTTTGGCATCAAAACATAGAACTGAAGCAAACTTCAGGAAGTAAAAGACCTACAAGGAGTGTGAAATATAACGGCGTGATTCCTTAGTGTGTGGTAAATAATACTGCAACTTACGGTGCACTGATAAACAGTAAATAATGTTAACTTGTGAGGTTGAACACACACACACTCACACATATAATACTTTTTTTTTTCCACTTTGTCTTACATCAGAAATGATTAATAACCACATGCCACAGGTGAATGTAATTTGCTATAGGTGGAACGAATGAATGTTGATTGATCTGCTAATGCAGAGACAGGCCTGAGGGGAGCTGCATGGGGAGGTGGTAATCACACCACTGTGTTACAGTGAATAAATATGGATTCATAGGGAGGAATGTTGAGGTGGGGGGGCGAGGAGGGGGGGGTCAATACACACAACACACAGAGGGTGTAGGAACTATAGAAAACTATAATAATGGTGATTATCCAGACAAAAACTGCAGCTGTTCCTATCAATAATACAAGACACTTTCCAGCTGCGCACTGCAAGAGAGGACTGTTATAGTCATATAAATACATGTATATATATATATACACACGTATGTTCTGTTTTTTTTTTGTTTTTTTTTTCATCCTTTGGCTGGGTTTGTGGCTTTATACCCTGGTGTGCCTAAAATATATAATTTCATGTTTGTTATTTTCACACTGACAGCCGCTAGAGGGCACACTAGGCTTATGTACCAGTAGTATCTGCTACTCCTGCACCACTGTAATGTACATGCTCGATAGAGCGCTAGAGGGCACTGGTGCGACTTATACTCAGGAGCGACTTATAGTCCGCAAAATACGGTATATATGGTGCAGCAAATCTATGTTTAAACCAGGTTGTCACAAAAAGAAAAGCGTCACAGATAATCACATCTGCATATAGTTAGTATAAATATGAAAATTGTTAGGGTAGTGTGGAGTGGTAAGAAGAGGTGTGCGTTTGTGTTTTGGGGGTGGCGGGGTAGATGGCCGAGAGCAGAGGGAGCAGGAAAAGTGCAGGAGATTGATGAGCCTATCATTTTCCATCAACCAGGCCTAAATCTCAAATCTAATGAAAACATATTAGCTGCAAAGTCCAGCCCACACACAAACAGAGAGAGACGTTACAGGCAGAACGGATGAAATGCCCTAAAAGGAAAAAGCTTCCTGTCTTCATGGTGCAGAAAGACAGTCACTATAAAATCACAGGTGTG